ACAGAGCGCTACGCAATCTAAAGCACCAAAAAAAATTTACTGCGGCAATCACCAAATCGACCCAAAACACATGGCATACTCTTCCGCGGAATACGAAGTGAAAATATGTCGGAAGAAGACTCGCCGTCGTGGTATAATCCCTACGAAGCGAAGGAAGTAAGTTCTCTTTAGTTTGAAAGTACAATCCCTTCTATTTAGTATTTTATAAAATTTTTTTTTTTTTTTTTCAAGGTCTTTCTAATGACAGCCAAATGGTATCGTTGTTGTAACATTAAAACTGAATCTATTGGCATCATAAGTCCGTACATGAAACAGGTTAAATATTTGCGAAATCTTTTTGTTGATGCCGACGTAGCAATGCCTAAAATTGGCATTGTGGAGGAATTCCAAGGACAGGTATAACTTTCTTAAAATTACACTAATGTTGCAATTAATACTAATGTTGATTTCGCTTGGTTGTTCTTAGGAACGCGATATAATATTAATCTCAGGAGTGAGGTCAAGCAAGGAGCATATACGTGACGATATGCACCATGGATTAGGATTCATACGAAACGAAAGATCAACTAAACTCGCAATTTCTCGGCCTTGTTGTCTGCTTATGATATACGGCAACACCCGACACACTCTTTTTGGATCCTCATTGGCGCATGATCATAAATTACTGCATCGATAATGATGCCTACCTCGGTCATTTGCCGGCAACGTTGTCTGACCCACCAACACTAGCCGACGGAGCAGTTAATACTCAAGATAATTAAATTACTTTTTGGCCTTAATATCCATTTTTCATTTTTTAATTAATAACATTAAGATAAGATAATTAAATTACTTTTTGGCCTTAATATCCATTTTTCCTTTTTTTAATTAATAACATTAATTAATAAATAAAAATAAGACTATTTTTCCATTTTCTCATAAAAGTTAATATATTTTTTAAATATGGATTCAAACGATTAAGTTTGTATGTACATGTCTTCTTCTTGTTGCTCTGCGAATATTTGTTTTGCTGCAGTAGATCCGAATAAATGATGCTGAAAACTATTAATTTCATATTTTGTCGACATATATTGATATTGTTGCAGAAGCGAAATGATGAACGCCATATATATATGAAAATGAGTAAATTGCAATGTGTCTTCTTAAATGATAATCGCATTGAGCAAATCTGTTCCACTCAACAACTCTAGAGTATGAAATTTATTCGTACGCTACATTTATGTGGAAATCCCTTCTAAGAACTAGCAGCAGTAAGAGGACAATTAAAGGTAAATTTTGCTCTGGCCCACTAAAGGAGAACGTTCATTAAGAAAAAAGTCTTTCGTTTCAGGAACATGAAAATATTTTATATGAATTATTGGAACAAAAATCCCGCGGGCGTAACCGGTGACTTGGACGATTTTGAAGTAGATGAAGAGGAGAAATTATCTGCTTGGGAGAATAGTATTGAGACTAGTGATTTAGATAGTACTGATGATAGTAGTCTCGAAAATGATTTGGAGGTATTTCTTCTAAATTTTAAGCAGTTAATATCTCTTACACTTGTCTTTTCATTGCAGGATATATCTATACTTATACCAGAACTCTCGCGCTATATAACAAATTTCAGTTAAAGGTTTTTTTGGTCTTTATATCTCATTATTTTGTGAAAATTAGAGATTTATACATGTGTATGTAAGTTGAAAAACCAACAAGCAAAGAATATATCAAGTGAATGGAGCTTCGCTCTACTTTATGATCAAGTAAATATATTTTACAGGTCATCATCATCAGATGTGTCGAAACTATTTTTAAAATCATTGGGCGTTATGCTTTTTCCTACTTTCCTCAATGTGGGCTGATAATCAATTAGCTGAAAACTATCTGCCTTGCTTTCTAATTCTTATTCTTCTAATTTGTAATTTATGTTATCATTAAATGAAATAAGTAAATAAATAAATTGATATTTGTTACATTTTATATAATTTATATTTAAATATAAATAGCTTTATTTATATAATAACTTTATTATATACTTTATTAATATATATAAAAATATATATAGAAGAAATTGTTATGCTTTTTAATGGTCTCCTGATTGTTTCCGATTCTCTTTCCTTGACTTGGTCGCTTTTGCTCTTCTATCATCTCCTGTAGATGTATGTATAGTGTTGTGGAAAATACGCCAACTAAACTTATTTAATTTGACAAGTTATCCGCCCGAGTGGATTCAAATCTCAAGTGAGCTTTAAAAGAGAAGTATTTATTATCTGGTTAAATTTATTGCATGTGTATGTGTAAGATATAATCTAAGTATCGATCCTTTCTTCCCACAAAAGATTGTGACCAACTTAAGGATGTGACCGGCGTAAGGTTGTCGCAGAAAGGAAATTAATATATTTACTGTTTCGATAATTAATATAAAAAATAATATTATATTTTATTATCATTTAAGATTCATGAAAATATTAAAATAAATGCTTGTTCGGCTTACCAGCACCTAAGTAAGTAAAAGAAGCAACACGAGCATTCAGGTAAACCACTTCTCTAAGCACTTTCAATATTTTCGACAAAATAAAATCCACGCTACAAAATTTGGTAATCCTTTAGATACAAGCTAGTAAACAAAATATTAAATTGTAACGTAAACTGCCTTTCGATTCTACAAAGTCTTTTTCAGATTAACAGCTGAATTAAGTTCGTACCAGTTGAATTTGAAAATTCTTTAGGCACACTTCTATGTTTGAAAAAGGTTATCCACATGAACAGCGTGCAGTCTTTTCGAGCAGAGCAAAACTTACAAATGGCGATCGCGAAAATGAACAATAACAATGAAAATTGCCGTTAAATAACGCTTTTTGTTTTTGTTCCTCTTCATTAGTGTTGTTAAGCTACAAATGTGTTATAGCGTTTTTTGTATTAAATTTTTACGATCTTAGAAGTGACAACACATTAGAACAAATTAGCTTTTTTATACTGGAAAACGGCGTTTGTAGATTACGGGCAACTTCGGAAAAATGAAAAATGATGAAGGATTTGCTGAGATTTGATAGGACAAAACACAATTGAGAAAGTCTCTTGTGTATACTAGATAAGGTAATTATAAAATGATGTTCTATGATGAAGCTATGTTAATGAATGTTATGAAAAATCTTTAGTAAGGTTTTATTGTCAGTTAAGTAACAGATTATATGAAAGATGACTCGGCAGCAGTATAGAGGAAAAATGTTGCAATATAATCATAATGATAACCATATTTTTTACTATAAAAGTTTTTTGTAAATTTATTGAGTTACCTATAATTACCTCTTCCTATATAACATTCTATAACATTATATCATAGTATAATATTTTATCCGTGTCCAGTCTTCTTTAGCGCGAAATCGTAGCGTCCTCTAACGTGCAAATTCAAGCAAGAACAACCACCTCGGTAAATGTAGTGAAAACTTTATATGTTTTATACATGTACATATACATACTGTAACGTATACATATTTATATGTTTGCTGTTTCCTATCGTGTTTATGTTATGTTAAGTTAAGAGATGCTTCTCAATTATTTTCGAAGAGAAAATAGACAAGAGTGGAGTGTGCACTCGTTAGTTTTATTCGTTAAAGAATACACTATCAATTTTGTTAAAAAATAATCCACGTTACAGTCCAAATGAGGTTTTACCGGAATGATTAACAACGACAAGCTAATCATTAACCCGTTGATAATCATCCTACAACAAATTGTATACCTAACACTTGGAAGTAATCTCAAAGTTCGTTAACACATTTAAAGCGTAAAAGGAATCTTTTTCAAACTAAAGTGATTACTAAATGAAATAAACGAACAACAAGTTCGAAAGTTATATGCGGCAAAAAAAAAATAAAATTTAATCACTTGTAACTTTGTGTGGGCATGGCCGATTTTCTCAATTTTTGCACATAAATAGTAGAATGACTAAGCATGGAAAATTTGAGCCTCCTATCTTCTTTAATTTATGAATAATGAGCAGAAAACCACAAGTTTTTGAATAAAACAATCGAGTTGTGCTTAATTTATGCTTCACTGTGGACTTGTGCTGGCATCAAGTTGGTTCATTTTCAATAACAACCTGCGTGCAAAATCTTCCAACGTTGCTATCAAATTTAAAGTCAATATCTTCATTCTTGCGACAAGGACAGTGCCAACACCAAACACCAGCAAGCCGGACGGACATGGCTTAATCAATGCAGAATTTCACGCTGAAGCTTCCTTCTGCGTATTACATACATTATGGGAAAAAAGAAAAACAAAATATGTATACTCCCATCCTTCTGTGGCGGGTATGAAAAGTATTTAATTTATCCATTGATTTATTTATCATTGTATTATTAATTATTTTTCTCTTACTAATAAAACTCTATGATGTTATGCATTCTCTTTGGTTTTGATTTCTAATTAAAGTTTTCGATTCAAATATTTAACAGATTCGTTAACAGAACGTTTGTGTTTTTGAGTAAAATATTAACAGAAAGAATATTTGTCTCTGGGTTTACATGTGAAAAGAGCATAATATTAAGAAAAAAAAAAGAGAGGAAAGCTAAAAAAGGATATAATACAGTTCCTTAATAAATCTCATGTTAAATATATAAACAAAACGAAAATTAAGGAACATGTTAAGGATTTAAAAAATGACAAACACCCACATACCAACAAATGCATATAGACAATCTATTCTATACACCTATTGTACATTTATATGCAAAATGTTATATATATATATATATATATATATATATGTATATTCTTGTAATTTAAATAAACTTGATTACATGCAATGCAAATAAAAAATAAATAAATAAATGAAAAGTGGGCAAAAAAGAAAACAAGTGACTTTCATACTCATGTACGTGCACTTGCCAGGCGGGCGCTTAGTATTTGAATATTCAACGATTGCCATGGCGACATGCACTCGAATGAATAACACAACGAAAGAATTTGCGGAATTCAGAATGAAAACGGTGCTTGAAGTCCTTAGCGAATAAAAAGAAATGCAATTAAAGTTTTTAAAGACAATTTTAGAAGGCCAGGTAAGTGGATGCTCAAATGTTCATAATTAAACTGAAATAGAAATTAATTGTAGAATTTCTTCTTCTTCTAGAATTACATAAATCGTATTCCCGGTTTGGCTTGGTCACCGAATCATCAAAAGTTGGCTGTAGCTACCGCTGATCGTCACATTTATTTATATGATGATTTAGGTGAACGTCGTGACAAGTTTTCAACAAAACCCTCAAATCCCGCAAGTGGAAAACACTCCTACGTTATACGCGGTTTGGCTTTTAGCCCCGATTCCAAAAAATTAGCTGTTGCACAAAGTGATAATATTGTATATGTTTACAAATTGGGTGAATCGTGGAACGAGAAGAAAGTAATATGCAATAAATTTCCTCAAGCAACAGCAGTGACAGCGTTAATATGGTTAACATCTGGTCCCATTATAGCAGGTAAGTTTTCAATGCGTAATGAAAATAAGCACAATTTTGTGAACAACATTAAAACATTAAAACATTTAAAATGCTATTAAAAGGGCATGAAAACCAATTTGATAGTTGAACTGTTTATAGATGAAATATCGCTGCAAGTAACAGTGTGTGGGTATTTACTTTATATTATTTGTAAGCCTTTCATCTTAATGTGGGTTATAGTCCTTTAACTGTTAACAATACTTCCATTCAGCAATGAGCTGCTTTCGCATTCAAAAATGTACGGCGAATTACTAGCTTATCTGATTTAAACTAAGCTACGTAAATACAGGATGACGGTCTACAAGATAATCAGTCTGTGCAAAAAAAAAAGAGGAAAGGTCGCCTCAAAACTTTATGTAGAAAAACAAACGCGATCGTGAATTTCCACTTTTCAATCTTCTTAAGCTCAAAAAGTAAGAAAGTTATGTTCCCTTCTTAGCAAACCTTGGACAGTCATAACCTCAATTACATATTCAGCAGTCGCCGGATTTTTATTAAATCGGCAGAAATTTATTTTAATGTTCGAGAAGCGACTTTAAAGGGGAAAAAGTTAAAGTTGGTTTGCTTGTTGGCGAGACTATAATAATAATAATAATAATAATTGGGTTGTAGCATAGCCAACTAGTTAAGAAGCTTGACTGTCAAATCAACGTATCCGAATTGAACCCCCAAGACGGCAAACCATAATTTAATTACAATTGGCCTGTGGCCGTAGCTATAGTGACTGCTTGGCCGATCGGACGCACGGTAATCTCCATCTCTCTCCATCCATCTCTCGTCTTCGGACCGTCACCGTAACACACGGGTAGGGTGTATAGGGTGATGCGGGAGAGAAAATTAGGAAGTGACCATAGCCCGACCGGTAAACCTCATGTCTTTATCGCACTCAGCACTCACTGCCGCGCCGCTCGCATACCAATCTTAAGTGAAGTATGGCTTTTCGCACAGAGGATTAAGCCCGGGTATAGCAACTTGATAGCCGTGCTTCTCCAAAGAACGTAATAGTTTGCAATAGCTTGAAGATATATGCTTAATGTATTATTAATTTTGACTATAATCGCTTTTCTGTGAACACTTATGCGTTCAGGTTAAAAAACATCATGTACCTCTACACGATCGGGATGTCGCATGTAAATATGTTGTTTATGGCACGACTTCAAATATGGTATAAGAGTATTTGTGTTATGTAAGCTGTATTGTATCATCACAGTACCTTTCTGCAATATTCAATATTATTTATACGCTATTTATCCATAGCCAAATTAATACGCGAATTTTTCCTTCTTTTTTTCACTATTTCCACTTTCACTCTTCCTTTCTCTGGCCTTCGTAAAGCATAGATTTATCGGCATTAGGGATTCTAGTGTGATCCCGATTTTCGAGTAGCTTTTCTCGCTGGTAGAGTGTTTTCAAAGAAACGTCTCACTTCCTTTGCCTCCTTTGAGGTTCTACCTTTATAGCTTTGTTTTGTACCCGTCCATCGGCATGTTTAATGAAGGAAACATTTCAATTATACGTAAGCAATTTGAGGATGAGCCCAATCTGTCGCTTGAACGATCAAATGTAACGATATCCACGAGATATTACAACAAGATTGACCTCTATAATGAACATAGAGGATATTTAAATTCGATATTTTCAGAACTAAAAAGTAGATGAATATATGGATATCTTTCCGCTTTGAAGTTTTTTTTTTTTTTTTTTTTTGCATGCATGAAGTATTCTTAAAGATTTTTTAAAGAGAACGCATTGTTGATGGGCATAATAGATAGGAGAAATGAATATTAAAACTATTTTCGACGAAACGCATGTACTGAAGTGAATTTTAGTAATTCGTCCACGATCGTTTTGCACTAGACAGATCACGTAGATCGTTTGCTTAAATCCAATTGTGACCTAGATTGCTTTTACAACACAAACCTGATTACGTTTTTAGGGCTTGACGACGGTAAAATACGAGCACTTCATTGTAAGAGTAATAAATCCCAAAGCCTTTATGGAATCGAGAGTATTTGTATCGCATTGGCTGCCAATACCAAGGGTACAGCGTTTTTGTCCGGACACAATGATGGCACTATTATACGTTATTTCGTATCTGATGATGTCAATGAGCCATCTTCTCGCGTTGCCCAACATCCCGTTCCACCATTTGCGTTAGCCTGGCCTCAGGGCGGTTTTTGCGCGGCAGGATGTGATCAACGTATCGTATTCTATGATACAGTGGTAAGAATCTACTTTCGCCCAATACTCGGCTAATCTTAAATTCGTTGCTACGTTGTTCAGGGACGTCAGGTACGCACATTTGATTATTCACGGGCGGAGGATGAACGTGAATTTACGGTCGCCGCTTGCAGCCCCAATGGCCAAGCAGTGGCCTTCGGCAGTTACGACCGCGTACGCATTTTTACTTGGAGTCCACGTTTGTTTGCTTGGAGTGAAACTGCTTCTAAGAACATTGAGTTCTTTTATACTGTAACTTGTCTTTTATGGAGACATGACGGCGCCAGGTGCATATAACTAAATACTTAAGAGAGTAGAGATATTTCCCCTCTTTGCTTACAGATTGGCTATGTCTTCTCTCGTTGGTGCTGTGATAGTATTTGAGACCGTGTTAAAACGTACCGTATGGCAAGATAAATTTGAATTGATTTTTGTTGCTCCGAGTCAATTGTTGGTACGATCGTTGAAAGCGCCCCATGAACAAATGACGATAGAATCGAAATTGGGCTTAGAAATCGATGACGTTCGAATTATGGGCAAGGACAATTACTTAGTTGCACGGACTGAGGAATCTTTAATATTATGCGATTTAACTCGTAACTTAACTAGCGAAGTTTCCTGGACGACTACCGGACGTCATGAGCGTTTTTATTTCGAGAACCCCACAGTTTGTCTTATATTCAACGTAGGCGAACTAAGTCTAGTAGAATATGGTGAGTCAACGCTTCTCGGCTCCGTCCGAACCGAGTTTGTAAATCCTCATGTAATCTCAGTTCGTTCGAACGAACGAGGGAATACCAAGTAAGAATATAAATCGAATTTCCTAGAATAAGGAAGCAACTTCAATCTTTATATATATCTTTCAGAGACAATAAAAAGTTGGCTTTCTTGTTGGACGCTAAAACCATATGCGTTGTTGATTTATTTGGTCAAGTTGTTATTGGGCAAGTTAATCATGAGACTAAAATTGATTGGCTGGAATTAAGCGAGACAGCCCATAAGTTACTTTTTCGTGATAAGAAAATGAGGTTAGCTATGCTAAAAGAACTGCAAGATGTATCCGCTGCTACAAACAATAACTTTGTTCGTCGATTTACAGATTAATTCTGATTGATATTTATTCCGGAAAGAAGCAAACATTATTAAATAATATTTCCTTCGTTCAATGGGTGCCGCAAAGCGATGTGGTGGTAGCACAAAGTAACTGCAATTTGGCCATTTGGTATAATATAGATTTACCGGAACACTTGACTTTAGTGCCAATACGCGGGGAAATAACAGAAGTTATACGAGAAGGAGTAAATTTACAAAAAATTTTCGATTTCTGAGTTCATTTTACTTTCTTTTTGATATTTTACAAGGGTCGTACCACTGTTCGCACTCAAGAAGGCCCTACTGAGCATGCTTATCAACTTGACGAAGGCCTCGTTGAATTCGGCACTGCCGTAAATGATGGCGATTACGGGCGTGCTATTCATTTCTTGGAAACTTTAGGGGACAAGCCAGCTGCCAAGGCCATGTGGCATAATTTGGCCATAATCGCTATAGAAGATGCTAATCTACGTGTGGCTCAACGTTGCTATGCTGCCTTGGGAAATGTATCCAAAGCTTTCTATCTTTGCGAAATGATAGAAGAGGCTGACAAATATGAGAAGAATACAGGAATTCCCGGTATTCTTTGTCCGGAGGTGAAGGCCAAACTAGCTTTACTATCATCTGACCTACGGTCCGCAGAACGTATCTATTTGGAGCAAGGTTATTTAGAAGCAGCTATAGCAATGTACAAAAAATTACGCATGTGGGATGACGCAGTTAACTTGGCTGAGAGACGAGGCTTTACCGGTGTACAACAACTAAAAGAAGAACAAATGTCTTTTCTACTAGAAACAGGCCAAGAAGAGAAAGCTGGCCAAATTCTTGAAGATCGAGGTGAAGTGGACAAAGCCATGAATTTGTTTTTGAAAGCCAATAAACCTGCACGTGCTGCTCGCTTAGCTTTGAAACAGCCCCACCTACTCGATGACCAACATTTGATGATGAAAGTCACTGAAGGTTTAATTAACTCAGGTGCTACTAACATAAAAGCTTTGGAGACATAGATAATTTGTTAAAAATATGTTTCATTTTATTCAGAGCTTTACGAAATGGCTGGTGACATCGCTCACCGTTTGTTTCGGTCAGATGCAGCCTTAGCTTTGTATCGCAAAGGAGGAGCATATGCTAGAGCTTTGGATATTGCCAGGGAAGCGGCTCCAGATGAAGTTATAAGTCTAGAAGAGGAATGGGGTGATTGGCTTGTATCACGCAAACAACTAGACGCCTCTATTAATCACTATATAGAAGCTGGTGCCACCCAAAAGGCCTTAGAGGCTGCTGTAGGAGCTAAACAATGGCGAAAAGCGGTACAAATTGCCAAAGTGTTAGACGAACCGAAAGATATACAACGCTACGCTTTAGATTTATCTAAGCACCTGGCTTTCGCAGGAGACATAGATGATGCCGAAGATCTGTTAGTTAGAGCTAATCTCTTTAGGGAGGCCATTGAGTTACTCAATCGCCATGGTAAATGGAAGAGGGCTTACGCTATAGGTGAAAAATATCTTAAGTCTGAGGAGATGCGTAATCTGTTTGTGAACCTTGCTGGCAATTTAGAGGAACAAGGAAAGTATCGCGATGCTGAGAAAATTCTGTTAGCTGTTAATGAACCGGATTTGGCCATAGCTATGTACAAGCGTCGTGAACTTTATGATTCTATGATACGTTTAGTTGAACGCTACCATAAGGATTTGTTAGAAAGCACCTATCAACACTTGGGACGCACTCTAGAGTCTAAAGGCAAATTAAAAAATGCTGAAGTCTACTATTTGGCTGCGGGAGACTGGAAGTCAGCGGTACATATGTATTGTACAGCCGGTAGATGGGAAGACGGTTATCGTGTAGCTAAGCAACACGGTACTGATGGAGCCAATAATCAGGTGGCTTATATGTGGGCGAAATCCTTGCCAGTAGAAAGAGCCGTTCGTTTACTTACCAAATTAAGGCTTTTGGAAACGGCAGTAGGATTTGCTTGCGACTCAGGACAATTTGAATTTGCAATGGATTTATGCCGTTTCGCTGGAAAACCAACCGACGAAGTACATCTAAAAATAGCAATGGCCCTGGAAGATGAGGGTAAATTTGAGCAGGCCGAACTTGAATTTATCAGAGCTAATAAACCACGAGAGGCAATACTTATGTATACACATGCTGGGGATTGGAGGGCAGCATTAAATGTGGCTGAAACTCACTTACCTGAAGCAGTTAGCGAAGTACTTATCAGTCAGGCTAATGCTGCTTTAGAGACTCGCAACTATCCCGATTACGAGTCTTTGTTGTTAAGAGCACAACGGCCCGATTTAATAATTGAACATTACAAAAACCAATGTATGTTTGACGATGCCATACGGGTAGCCGAGGATCATTTTCCGACAGCTCTGAATGATTTAAGACGTTTGGCAGCACAGGAGCAACGACATGGAGCCGGCGCGAGTCATGACTCGCGTGCCTATCTTCAGCGGGCTGCTGAGTTCGCAAAGAGAGAGGATTTTCGCAAGGCTGCAGAATGTTTGATGCAAATAGATTCATCAAATGCGGAAAACGAGTCTACATTAGAACGTGCTTTGTTGAGAGCGGCAGAAATATGTAATCAGTTTCTAGAGGGACAAGATGCCATTGAAGTAGCCCAAAAATTAGGTCCACGCTTGTGGCAAATTAAACAGATCGGTCCAGCCGCTCAATTATATTTAGCCGCAGACATGCCAAGGGAAGCGGTAGATGTGTTTATAAAAGCTGAACAATGGTCGAAAGCTCGTCGTTTGGCCAAGGAAATAGATCCCGAATTAATGGCTTACGTCGAACAGCAGCAAAAGGCACGGCTACAAAGTGAAGGCAATGTTGAACAACTGGCAGATATAGGTGAGTATGGACGCTATAATTAAATTTCAAAATGCATCAAATATCATTTCAAATTTACTCAGATATTATCAGCGCCTTGGATATTCTGGCCGAGCAGGGACAATGGCAGCGTTGTTTGGATAAAGCAAAACAAATAAACACCCTGACTTTACAGAAATACGTAGCCCTCTACGCTGCCCAGCTTATACGGGAAAACAACTGCACGCAAGCTCTGCAAGTGTACATTAACTATGATTCACCCGCCGTTGAAGCTAACTTTAACATCTATAAGAGAATAGCTTTAGACTGTTTTGCTCTGCGAGAACAAGCTGCAAATGGGATATGGAAAAATTTAAGAAATTTTCTATACAAATTATTGCAGGTAATAGAAAAGAAACGTTTTAAAAAAAGAAGAACTAAAATTGAGCAGGAAAATAAAGCAGACAGTGAACAAACACAAAGTAGTAAACATTTCAAAGCACATGGATATGCAAAACAAAATATGTATTAGGACATCGAACGCAATAGGAATTGCAAAGAGCTAACAATTCTGGGCGAACACAGAAAAACAAACACTAGGAATAAGAAAAAGAAGAGAAGAAGTTGCGATCCCGTGGCTCGACGAAGAAATGAAAACTGAATATCAAGAATGTCGTAGAAGAAAATTTAAAGGGAATATTAAGTAAGGTTAGAGAAAATGATGTAATGAAATAAAATAAGAAGAGGAGATAATTAAGACGTAGGAAAATATTAAACGATGTTAAACTTACAATAATTTCTGAAATCTCTAGCTAAAATACTCGAGCTACCCTTTAGCTGAAGCTATTGGCGCGAAACCCAGTCTTCTACAACAAAAAAAATGGGAGCAAAATTAAGGCCAGACTAACACTGTAGTTATAAACAAACGATTGAAAAGTCTTTGACTGAAATATGGGAAAAGTTTAATCAACAAGTTGAAAGACTTGAAAGAGGAGTAAATTTAATAAGACTAAAAATTTCCTTGTACTTGCAGTCACTCAAATCGTCCACGTTCTCAGAAGCGCCCATTGCGGACATCATAGAACAATATCTTCTGATTGCTCATTATTATGCCGCTAGAAGTGCTTGTCGCCAAGTTCAATCACTGCAATCGATTGCTTTACGCATAACAATCGCTTTGCTACGCTATACCGATATAATACCCGTAGATAAGGGTTTCTATGAAGCTGGTTGGGATTTACGCAACGCAGGTCGCGAAGCGGAAGCTTTTGTCATGCTCAATCATTATCTGGACATATGTGAAGCTATTGAGGAAGATGCTGGCAATTTGGTGGACCACAGCTATCTAACCGCGACCGACTTTCCCAGTTCGGTGCCACTGCCCGAAGAAATACACTTAAAAAATGATCCAGATTTACACGAAGAAGTAAGGGAATGGGTACTATCTGTTAGCATCGATCAACAAATCGATCAGGTGCATTGTAAAAATGATATAAATACTAAACAATGTAAACGTAAAAATTTTTTCTCATCATAGGTGCTTCCCGTAGATGACCGTGGCTTTTATGAGTGCTGTTTGGGATTTGATGATGTTCCTTGTATACTAAGCGCTTATCCTGTACGCGGAAGGCAACCGGTCACATTTCAGCAATCGAATCGACAGGCAAACCGTGACGTCTGGAGCAAATTTTCGGTCGCCCAAAAAATGCAATCAACGAGTGAAGTGAGTGAAGTAATAGCATTTACTGAAAAATGGAATGGATTGGCCAACTACGTTATGCATTAATTTACTTATGTTCACATAACTTTATTTATGAAAGAAAATTTATATAAAAATATGCAATGCCTGCTGCTTAAGGAAGTGAAGCCCAGAAAATTGTAATTTTGGTATCCACAAAAATAGAAAGAAAGACTTGCAAAACATTTTCTTATTAAAGGGTGAAAATTAACCGATCAGTTTTACGTTAAAATCTATTGCGAATTAAACGAGCTCGACTCCTTGTGTGCGGGATCTGTAATTTTTAATCAAGTTTCAATTAGTTGTTCTAATTTTTGGGTAGGCGTATCTAAATCACCTGACAATCTTATGCTATTCAAAAGTTTATGCGACTGTGTCCGTGTGAAGCGTAATAAATTTAAAAGAATTAAAACAACTCCTTTGTAATTCTTTAGGCAATGCGCATCGGTAAGTGCATATTTCTGTCATCTTGTTGGTGGTTAAAAAGTTCTTCCAATTTAAGAAAAGGTATCTAAACAAAACTATTGATGAGCGTTCGTGAACAAAAGAAAATGGACGAAACAAATTCCGTAGTGAGTGAACCATTCCGGGGTCGCGATTTCCTCTTTCTTTTTGCTCCTCTTGCTAAGTACTCCGGACTTATCCCATTTTGAGAGCTGAAATCACGGAAAACGCTAAGCATCGTTTTTTCTTTCAAAGCAATTTCGGATTGTGCTACGCCTGCAAAATACTTCAAAAATATATCGGCGTTTGTCTTCATAATGGTAGTTAATGCCCACATAAAGAAAGTATCGCTAAACATACATATCAGTTTATTGTGAAAACATCGTCTTAATTTTAAACAAAATTTTTCTTTTTTTTTCCTTTAAATTAAGTAAAATTGGAATTTCTTTTTTGAAAATTTTATGTAATCGATTTTTTCTTCGACTTCTGCATAACTACCATGTAAACACATATTTGTATATATTTATATCGTTCATATATATAGATACATATATACAAAAATGCATTGAAAGAAAAAACGATGCTTAGCGTTTTCCGTGAT